CTCCTATCCTTGATTCCAGGTTCATACTTTAAACATTCCATTACTTTATTTAAAAAGAGAAGAGAGCTTCTCCCAGAGTCCTGGCCAACAATCCCCCAAATAATAATTGGTCACTTCATGGCTGTTTGTGGGAGAATGCTGTACGCAAACTGGCTGTCATGTTCACTTATAATAATAATAATAATAATCCTTGCATTTGATATAGCGCTTTTCACGTCGGGAGGACGTGAAACAGAAGCTATCACAGAAGCAACACAGAAGCCATCCCTCTTCATCTCCAATGTCTCTTCACTTTGATATCCTCAACTTCTCTGGCCTCTTTCTCAAACTCACTGAATCAGGTGCGCAACCCTGCGTTTGGTTTGCTTCCAGTCTCGCCTTCCTCCCTTATATTCAATCCCTGACCAAAACCAATCTTCTTCACCAAATTGCCCCCCACCTTATCACACAGAAAAACACCACCAAACCTTCCTTCATGCTTTTGTTACCTTCCAACTCAACTTATCTCATGCACTCTTTGCTGGCTCTAACTTCAAAACTCTGCTGTCCACACTTTGACCGACACCAAACTCCACATGTCCATTACTGAGTCCTGGCCGGGACCATTGGCTCCCCAGCTTCCAATGGTTTGAGCCTTTCATGCACGAGAATCTCCCAATCTCCAATTAATTCAATACTCTGCTGCCAGTATCCTCATCCTCACCAATGTACCCCTTCATCGCAGTCCTTACCAGGCTCCACTGGCTCCCTATTGCAGAACAAATTGATTTCAGGATCCTCACGATCTTTGTATAAATAACTTCTTGCCCTGGCACCTAACCTACCTCTCCGACCTGCTTACATCCCACTCCACTCACCGCCTCCCTCGCTCAGCTTGCTCCGACAACCAGCATATTCCTTGCCTCCTCTACTCCACCATCAAGGGCCGTGCTTTCAACAACAACAACAACAAGATTCCATTTATAGAGCGCCTTTCACGTCGGGAGGATGTCCCAAGGCGCTGTACAGTTGGGTCAGGACCCAAGCAAGGGGAAAATGGTCGAGGTGAGGGGAGGGAAGGAAGGGAGCGAGGAGTGGGTAGAGAGTCGAGAGGGGAGCTGAAGGCACGGTCAAAGAGAAAGGTCTTGAGACCGGCCTTGAAGGAGGAAAGGGAGAAGGCAAGGCGAAGACACTGGGGGATAGAGTTCCAGAGCCTAGGGGTTGAGAGGCTGAAGGCACGGCCACCGATGGTAGGGCGGTTGGGGCGGGGGATGTGGAGCAGACCGGAGCCAGAGGAACGGAGGGTACGGGAAGGTAGGTAGGGGGATAGTAGGTCGGAGACGTAGGAGGGAGTAAGGCCATGAATGGCCTTGTAGGTGAGGATGAGGATCTTGAATTCGATCCTCTGGGGGATGGGGAGCCAGTGGAGGCGAGCGAGGGTGGGAGTGATGTAGTCCATTATGCCCCAAAACTATGGAACTTTCCCTCAATCCCTCCACCTTGTCAGTCTTCAAATCACATCTGAAGTCCATCCTCTTCGACCATGCTTATGGTCACCTTCCCCTCTTCCCGGCTTGGCATCAAGCTCCACCATTGTTTAAGTGCTCTGAGTGAAGGGTGCTATTTAAATGCAAGTTGTTGTATCTCTGTGATCTCCCAACGTGAAAGGTCCTCTATAAATGCAGTCCTGTTGTTGTTATTGTTGTTGATCTGCTTCCACCCTACTTTTCTGCTCGTCCCTCCCCATAGCAAACTCGAGCCTGTTTCACTTCCCCTGCTCTATCCACTGAACCTTCAACAACTATTCCCCACCTACTGGAACTCCCTTTCTCACCCCCTTGTCTCATCACCCCTAGCTGTCTTTAAATCCCACCTAAAAACCTCTCTCTTCATATGGGCTCACCAAAATAATGGGAACTAAGTACCTTTTTTAAATTATAGACATGAGCACAAAAGTGAAAAACTCAAACATGTATCAAGATCATAATACAGTATTTTTCTTTATCACAGAATTGTTGAACACCATTGAAACTGGTTGAGATTATATCAATGACAGCAACTCCTTTGAAAAGCCCTGGACAACTATCCAGTCAAATAATAGTTGCAAGTAAAAGTATACTCAAGTACTAGAAAGTCTGCAGTCCTGTTGGAATCATGTGAGTATTACTATTTCAATAGAATGCAACGTAATAGCGATAAACAATGTAGATTATAAAGTTAACTTGGTATCCTGGAGTTTGCTCTCCAATATCCTTGGGAGTTAGTGAGATGTTTCGCAGTTTTATCTCCCCTAAGAGATTTAATAAGTTGGGAAGAATTCAGTTTGGTACCAGCTGTATATGCTTTGTGAGAAGGGGAGACTCAGTGAGCCTGTTATATTATGTTCCAAGTCTTTTTATTTTCTGCATCTTTCAGGATCCACCTGTGCGGAAAATGACATTAATAAAATCGAAATTGGAGCAAATGGGATGTTGATCACTGAAGTTCTTCAGTCGAGCACCAGGAGGTATGCAAGTAACCAAGACGATTTGCCCTCCAATGATTTATTTGGGAGGGTTTCTACTTTGCATAACCAAGAATGGAGTCTCCACTTGTGGAGAAACACTGGAGTGTATATCTCTGCACAGCATGGTGGGTCAGCAAAAAGCTGCAACATCACGGTGCCAGATATAAAAAGTGCTTTTAATGCTAACCATTCATTTCAGAAGCTGACTGCATATATTTTAGGATCATTTGAAAGCTAAAACGATTGCCATACTTTCACATTGGTGCAGGGAATATATTAGAAAAAATTCTGGTGAGCGAGCAGACAGATTGCCTTCAATACAACATGTCAGCCTGGTGTCTGACACCTGCGGAAATGCAGTAGGTGCATGAGTACAAAGTAATTGAACTCTAACCACTGCCATTTGACAACTGGAGACTGACAGTGATATAATCATAAACAATCTACAAATATAAATAAGTATCTTGAGTGCAGCAAGATATTATGAATTTGGATGAGAAAGGCCACTGCAGTTTCAAATATGTCATGTTTAATCTATGTCAGCAACTTTAAGAACATAAAGTATTGCGTGAAAGAAGACCAAGGTCCATCCGGTTCAACTTCCACCACCCTGGCAGTCACTTGGCAGGTCGTGTCCAAAACTATATACTGTATCCCAAAATATTATTTTCTATCAGAAATGTATCTAATTTGTTCTTGAAAGAATCAACACTTTCTGCTTCCACTGTCTCCCTCGGGAGCTGTTCCATACGCTCACTTACTTTACTGTTTTAAAACACCATTTTCAAAGTCAATCTGTCCCACAGTATAATCCAAGAAAAATCTGTCTACCATGGTCAACCTTCAAAGACTGAATGAGTCCTAAATTAAACTCATTCCTAATTCAAATCAAGGAGAGATGAAAGGCTACTAATCATTGCAGTCAGTTTCTGCTTGTTCAACTGTGCAAGGTTGCTGGCACCAACAAATGTATTTAGCCTAGTTTTTGCTCAATGCTCCACGTTCATTTTAACAACTGACTTTAAGAATGTTCTTTTAAAATAAATTGATACGCAATTGGGTAACCTCTTTCACAGTCAAACCAGCAATGATCAAAATCACTTATGTAAAGAATATATACATTAATTGCATATTGTTTAAGAGCATGCTTTAAGTAAGTTACGATTGCACAACACGCATGGTGGTATTGTCTATCCTTACAGGGACTGGCTGACCTTGGAGCAGAACCTGGAATTCTCTTAGTGCCAGCCACACTGCTCTGTAAGTATGCCAACTTATCCAGTAATATGGCCATGGGCCATGGCCCTATCTGTCACCCAACTGTATAACCCAACCTGAACACAGCCTTTGGGTCATTGAGGGGGAGGCAGTTTGAATTCAGTGCCAAAGTTTCCTTTCTTCCCTATCTTCAGACAGATTTACACAGCTCTACTTGTACTATCTGGCAGAGGCAAGTATTCTGGAACAACATTTCCCAAAGTAGAAGCACCAGCCCTGGCTTGTGGTAGGGGTGTGGCTTAACTTGCCAAATTTGACAAGAAATCCAATACAAGTGAAACACCATATTGTAGGGAGAAGGAATGAGGAGAGCCAAAATACACACTCTAACCATGAGAACCTCACTTGACTCCCACTATCAAAGCCTTAACCACCCATAAACCCTGTTAATTGGGATTGTTTTCCTCATTGTGCTTTTTTCCAAAGTTTTTTCCCTTAATTTCAAGTTGTTATATCTACTTCTTCTATCTTCTATACTAATAAAACAACAGTAACTGTCTGCACTTCCAGAAGGATCTCAATAACTGATTGATGTAAAGACATGATTTATACCTCATCTGAATGGTCTTGTAACTGGGAGTGACATGGGCATATTTGTTTTTGGATATCTCCTATCCTTTATGAGTTATTTCAGTGTGGCGTTTTTTGCTGCAGTTACACCTGGTGGCCACAGAGTCAGTGGCGCTGTGGCATCGTGCATCACACCCGGTGACCGCACCTGCTGACCGTGGTGCTGTGGCATCCTGCATCACAGAGCACGCATGTAGCCAAGCGGCGGGAACAAAATATACAACACAGACAAAGCTAAGCCACGGCAACAACAACAAATTTACATTTTTAAAGCGCCGAGTACTCCCACTGGGTCCTCCCACTGAGTCCCATCAACTAAACCAAGCTGGCACACAAATTGAATCACCCTCCTGCACTGGTGGGAGTTCGCAGTGAGATATATTTTCATTCACCGAATAACAGCAAATACTTTGCATGTTTGAGAATTTAATTTGTTCCTGCAGTTACAGTCTCCTACGAAATATTTACTGCCTTACGATGTCTCACAAATGATTTCCTGTTGCAATCTGCTTTTGTCACCTACTGATAAAAATATGTACTGCATAGTTTTCTTTTCTGTAGCGGAGAGAAGTGATTGCTATTAATAAATAGGCTGATATTTGGGGAGTTGAAATTACATTGGTTACTAACGCTTTGATACTCCTGCACTACTATGACCGTTAGTTACCTGTCCCAGTTCTTGTTATTATGGTGTTGATTATTCCTCCCGACAGTTCATACTCTGTAAAACAGAGCAAAGCCATTGTTTAGTCCACAAAATAAACCCCCAAGTATTTTTAAAAGTTTTTTATGTCTTATTGTATGTTTATGTAATTTCCTTATATGCATCACCCACAAAATTTACAGTCAATTCACTTTACAGTATTATCTGTGAATCATCTTTTAGACGTCTTATGGACATGATATAAGGCGCTATATCAAATGCAAGGATTATTATTATGTGAAAACCAGGAGAAATTCGGGGCGGGGGAGGGGGGAGGAAGTGTGCAATGCAGTGGGAAACACACCAAAAGTGAAATTTTTCATGGTGTGTGGAGGAAGTGAGCTTGATAGGCAAAACTGACCTTTCTTTTTGTAAGGCTTTTATAATCTAATACTCACCCATCCTTAGTCTGACAAATTAAGATGTCTAGTCAAGTTTATAACCATTTCATTCATAGAGTACAGCACTGGCGGAACTACAAAGAATGCTTTTTCAAAGGTGCAAAGTAAGCTTGTTTCTTCACAGCACTTTATTGGGAGGGATGTTGCTGCTGCAAGTATCTCATATTCGCGATATCATTAGCGCAGGAAGAATTGACAGGAAATTAGTATCCATATTTGCAGGACTTCATCTGAAGAATGCCGGACATGAACTTTCTTTGGTGTCCGTGTTTATAAAATTGATGTAGGATCAAAATGGTTAATGTAAAATGTTTCTACTTTGCACCCACTACCCACAAACAATCCCAGATCAGGTGTAGCACTGATCATGGCCAATCCATAGCTTCTCTGCACATAGCCATAGCTTCCGTGGCTTTCATCCTTGACATCCTTTCTATTTGCTCTATTTCCATTGACCATTTTAACTGTATAACTTCTGAGTTCTACTTTCAAAGCAGTTTTGTGCTGCCTAAATTTATGTTACCAGAGGCTTTTAATAGGTACAGATTGGGCCTTGAACTCATCCACATGGCTTGGATTTCAATCCATGTCGAAGATCAAAGAACAGTGATCTAATGCCTGTTCTCTGATACACTACCTTCAAAATAGACTCTATAACAATGGCTACAAGGATTTGGCTGTACGCCAGTTTAAATCATGATGAGGAACAGTAAAATGGTCCAATGATTAGTTGGTAAGGTAAGGAACCTTGTTATTTTAGCAATACTGTCTTTGTTCTTGTCTTTAAGCTTTTGTGCCTTAGAATTAAAGAGATCACTCACTCTATCATAATAATCAATAACAAGAGAAAGAGAATTCATTCCGGTCACACTGACCTGCAATGTGCTCCACAATTTAAAATGCTGAATCTCAGAGTCTAAACTCCAACTGCAAAGCTGCTGAAACACTACATTTCTGTAATGCTCGATAACCTCAGTACAGTTGTTAAGTATTTCACATTTGTATGCCCATTCCACCCGAGAGTAAAAATCCAGGCTGCAACAACTCGATTTTAAATGCCAGTCATTCACTTGTGATAGCAGAAATATTTGTTGGGTCATGTTGCCCTAGTTCAAACATTGCGGCACTGGGTAGTCAAACTCAGGAAAGGCAAAATCAGATAACACCATGAGAAATCTAAAATGTAAAAATGTATAATATCTCACTGTAAATCTACTGTTCGATAACCACACTTAATAGGGGGGGCAGCATTTGCTTCTATATTGTTAACTCTTTGATTTCTAACAGCCTGCTACTTACAGTTTGTCAATTTGTTTATGAACTGAAATCAACCAACCAGGTCTCTCCACATACTCAAGCTAAGTAATGTGATTTCAAATGACAAAGTGCCACAAAATACACAGTCAGTTCACTTGGCAATATATTCTGTGAAGCGCTTTGAGATGTCTCAACTACGTGATAAGGCGCTGTATCAAATGCATGGATTATTATTATTAAATACATCAAGCCCCCCCGCCCCCACCTCATCACACAAAATCCAACCTGTCAAAGACCCTACCCCACATAATCCATCTCTTGGCAAGGGGAGGGGATTTCTTGCATAGAAATTTCTCCTTCTCTTCCAGACTGCAAAAGCAAACAAGCAAATACTCATCCATCTCCACTTTTCCAGTAGACAATCCTAACTCCCACAGGTAATATTCTCCCAGCCACAATGGCACAAGAATTATGATTAATACAACTCTCCTCTAATATTTAAATACATATTTTGAACCTCAAACCCAGAAAAAAAAGTTAATATACCAATGAGTGATGGATTGCCTCATCTTGTGATTAAATCAGAACAATGGTTTTATGTCTAGATTTACCATGGAATTAAATGCAAGGATTAATTTAAATTAAATTTCACTGAAATCTGCCTTCCACAGCTCTCGTCTTGCATTGTCCCCTAGTAAGGATTTAACAAGCACAAGTTTTTTCAAGGAATAATGACATTAACAACAATTGAACCTGACATAAATAATTCCAGTCAGCCACAGTGACATTGGCAACAGTTGACGAGAATTTGCCTGCCTCAGAAGAGATAGAGAAGGACATTCAACACAAATGTTTGAACTGGATTCAATCCCAAGTCACAAAAGCAAAAGAGCAGTGTTCCAACCAGCTGTTCCACTTTCTTCCTTCTACAAATAATTAAATTGGTAATTGAATATTCATCTGATTTCCATTTTAATGGCAATTGAGGTCGAATTTGTAAGTTCTCTAAATTGTTACAGGTACAATTTCTCTAAATTGTATAATTAGCAACTAAGGATCATAGGTTTATGCATCCAATAATTTCGATTCCTTAAACTCAGAGATGATGGATGATTCAACCATGCTATGCTTTTTCCCGATGATCGACACCTACAAAACCAGTGTAAAGATTACCTACAGTGTAAAATTTCAGGCAGGAGTGGACCTTCAGTACATCTAACTTACCGATCCAAATTCCCAAAGGATTAATTTGATACTTTACCACTAAATACAACAACTAGCCACACTATCACTAGCTAACTCACAAATCTTAATTGTTTTTTTTCAATGCAAAAACTAAATTTGGATCTCCACAGATAGCTGATTTTATTTTCCACCAAAGCAGGCTTAAATGTTCCCTGTAAACAGAACTTTTGCTGATGGTTAGAAAATGATGTGGCAATCTCTATTTGGCATTAATCCAATTTGAAGAACACAACATTTGTGCCTTCAGCGCCACAATTAGTCAGGTTAGCAAAATATCTGCTTCACAGTTGTTTTTCTTGATAGCTCGCCAGATTGACCAATGCATGTACTTAAAAAGGCCAGTAGATACCAGAATTGTCCCTTTCCAAAAAATGGCTTGCTTTTGGGCAAATAGTGAATGAACAATTTAACTAAGAAAAAATAAATATTTAGGCAGTGAAAACCATAATAAATCATATTTTATATATTTTAGAAATCAGTGCCATTTCTGCTTGTGATTTCTTTGAAAAATGCAAATAATCTCTGTATCTGTTTTAATCCTTACATTTAATATAGTTCTTTATTACCTCCAAACCTCTCAAAATGCTTCACAGAGTATTTCTGTAAAGCATAGCAACTGTGTATTTGTAGGTAAACACAGCAGGCAATTTGTGCACAGAAATGTCCTACAAACAAACGTGAAGTGATTAATCGATACCTGGGGGAATACCAGGTACCAGGAATACCAGGTAGGATATGACAGGCAATACCAGGACAGCAGGAGTAAGTATTTTGCTTTCCAAATTGTGCCATGAGAAACTTAACATTCACCTGACCAGGCAGATGAGAACGGCACCTCGGATAATTCAGTGCTCCCCCTACATTGTTTTTGAATGTCAATGAGCTCAGAATATCTATGTATCTCTTGAACCTACACCCTTGGCTCAGAGGGAAATGTGCTACAATCTGACTGAATTGAATGTCAAAGAAAATATCTAGATCGCATGCACACCATGTCAAAACAGTGTGAGGCAGCTTTAAACAAGGCAAACAGGATGCTGTCCTGTATTGCCATATCAGTTGAGTTGAGATCTCCAGACATCATACTTTCACTATATAGAGCTCTGTTTACACGCACCTAGAGTACTGCATACAGTCCTGGGCCCCTCAACATAAGGGTTCAAGTAGGTGAGATAAAAGGTGTCACAAAAATAAGAGAATGAGTAATATCTGAAAATCTGTCTATCACATTAGAAGAAATTATATTTATAAATTTGTAAGCTCTCTGCAGCCTGAGAAAGTCGAGACACTCAGAAGTTCTGACAAAGTGGAAATTCAATGTATCACTCATTTCTCAGAAACATTCCTAGAAATGTAAAATCTCTACTAAATTTGGATTCAAATATTAACTTTAGTTACGTTTCGTCAATGAAGTATAAGATTCCATGTAAATAATTTGTGAGGAAACTTCATGTCAAACATAGAGACAATAATTTAGTAGTCCTGCACACTCCACTTGAGTTTTCTTTAAAAAAATGTTCTTTACCTGTGAATAAGGATTTCTCGAGGACAAAAACAATGATCATAACATTGTGGATGAGTGCAAGGAGAAGCCGAGATATTTTCTTGTTTCTTGTTTGCCATTTTTAATCAAAGAAAGCTCTAATAGTAATATAATAATAATCCTGGCATTTGATACAATGCCTTATCAGATCATCAGAGCACTTCATAGAATATACTGAAGTGGATGGACTGTGTATTTTTGGGTGAAATGCGGCAGCCAATTGAGCACAGCAGTGTCCCACAAACGGTCGTGGATTGAGTCACCCAATTTTTTTGGAGGTATTTTTACCGCCGGAAAGTGATGCATCAATTGACTGACAACTGGGTTCCTACTTACTGCGAAGTAAGCAGAGGCATGTGGAATAAGAAAACTTGCCTAAGGTTTCGCTCCGGATGGGAATCGAACTTGGGTCCTTTCGCTTGTGAGGTGAGTGCGCTCACCATTATACTACAGGACTCCACTAAAAAGATAATCCAATGATGTAGTGAGTCAGAAAAATAGTGTGAAATATCAGAGATCGGGAGGGTGTGGGTTTGAGGCCTTTACATACCTAATCTCAGTTAGCCATCGGG